TGGGAGTGACTGAGAGCATGCTGAGGTCAACTGGGACATACTGGGAGAGACTGGGAGTGACAGGGATCATACTGGGAGCTAGTGGAGTCATAGTAGGGGTGAAGGGGAGCAACTGGAACCACGCTGGGGCAACTGGGATCATACTGGGAACAGGTGGGCCTGTGCTGGGGTCATCCTGGGATCATACTGTGAGCAACTTGGACTATAAAGGGGACAACTGGGAGTGACTGGATGTGCAGTGGGGTAACTGGGATTGACTGGGACCATGGTGGGGGAGGACTGGGATCATACTTGGATTAACAGGGTCTGTGCTGGAGGCAACTGGGAGGAACTGGGACCATGCAGGGAGAAACTGCAATCATACTGGGATCATACTGGGATCCCCACGGCCCTCCAAGCACCCCCTAATCCCATTCAGAGTCCACCCAGGACCCCACCCAACCCCTTTTCTGGGGGACTTCTCTGGGCACTGGTGGTGCTGGGAGCCCCCCTGGCTGTGGGTGAGGAGCTCTCGGGTGAGCGGGGGATGGGAAGGGGGAGGTCAGTGGGAAAAGGGGGGTCAGAGGGGACAAAAGGGGTGTGGGACCCCAAACCGAGTGGGAGGGGAGTGGGACCCCCCACAAGTGGGGAATGTGTGGGATCAGGGCACTGCTTTGGGGCGATGCTGGGAATTCCAGTGGACTAAAAGACAAACTCCAGGCGCTGTTTCCAAAGGAACCCAAATGAAAGGGGGACGCCAGAAAGATGGGCGGACAAGTCCCAGAATGGAACTCTGTGTGTGCAGCCTCATTTTTTCCTTCAGTGCCCATCTTTGGTAGCCCCAACATGAAACCTCTTCTCCGGGACACTCTCCCAGTGCCCGCCACCAACAGAGGTGGGAAGTGCCGGCATTCATCCTGTGGGAATGGGACAGCGGAGCCCCCGGCACAGAAATCTGCAGAGCCCTGTAGGAACAACAGGGCAGGGAATTTCCCAAGAGCACAGGCTTTACTGGAAGATTTTACAACAGATCTTGAATGCAGCAGGACAGAAGGTTATGGCTGAGCAATAGGGATGAGCAATGAACATTTCCTTTGATGCAGCCATGAAGAGTAACAGAACCTGATGTAGGGACAAAGGGACAATATTCTATTTCAATTTGGACACCTTGAAAATGCATCTTTTAGACTTATTGGAGGACGTCTTCAGGGAGAAGGAGGATGTATTCCCTGCTGTTTGTATCTGCTCTGCTGCTCAGCCTATTGATAAACCCACTGATGGAGCTTTAGGGCCTCTGCTGAGGGCTCTGTCTTCTACCTTGACTCCTGGCAATCTCCCTCTGTGGGGGGTCTCTCTCCTGCTTTTAATGGTGCTCATTTACCTCCTACGGGGGGTTTTCCGCCCCGTCCTTCCTCATGGCGCTTTTGGGAAACAGGGCTGCTTTTGCCTGCAGCCGCGCCGAAGCCACACCAGGGCTGGATGCCTGAAGAATGGACACACAGCCCTGGAACCATTGGATCTCCTGGATAATTGAAGTGCCTCTAACGGAAGGTGCACGGCCTGCTTGCCCCTCCCGCTGAGCACCAGCTCCATCTCCTGCTCCTGCCCCTGCCCAGCGGCTTTCCAGAAATCCAGGGCTCGGTGTGGATTGAATGCTATGGCAAGGGACAAGATAAAGTTGCTTTGCTTCCACCCTTGGTGTCTCAGTGTTTGTGATTTTGGGAATCCTCATGAACCTGGAACAATGGCAGATTATCTGTTGTGGTAAGATATGTACCTGGAGATTGTTTTGATATGTGTTTAAATCTTCCTTGAAAATACAACTGATAGAAAACAATGTAAAAAAAAAGATAAGAAAAAAACGAAAAAAAGAAAATAAAAAGAGAAGAAGGAAGAAAAAGAGAAAAAAGGAGAAGAAAGAGAAGAAAAGGAAGAAAAAACAGGAAAAAATAAGAAAAGAAGAAAAAAGAAAAAACAAAATAAGATAAAAGAAAAAAAACAAGATAAAAGAAAAAAGGAAAGAAAAAAGAAGAAAGGGGAAAAAAAGAAAGAAGAAACAAAAAAGCAACAAAAAGAGAAAGAAAACAGAGGAAAAAAAAAGTAGGCAGAAAAACAAAAAAACCAAAAACGTCCTGTTGTCACTCCGGTCAAATGCAAATGGCCGCAATGACCCCCAAGACTACAACTCCCGTGGTGCCCCGCGCAGAGCGGGGGCGTGGCGCTTGGCGGATAGGGGTCGTGACCGCGCGCTGATTGGCTGTGGCAGGGGCCTGTAACGGCGTTGCGCGCGCAGAGCGCCATGTTGGCTTCCGGGAGAACATGGCGACGGCGAGGGTTGCGCTACACTGTGTGAGCTGGCGGGGCCTGCGGGAGAGCGGGGCTCTGGGGATCCCCTCGGGGGCTGCGGGGAGCGCGAATGCAAGTGGAAAGGCTGGAAGACTCGGGAGGGTTTAGCCAAGGGGTTCGGGGGTTCCCGAGGGTCAGAGCGCAGGCCTGGAACCAGCGGGGGGGGGGGGGGGGGGGGGGGGGGTTTTCACAACCCCCCCCCCCTCCCCCGGCGCGCCCCCGGGGGGGGCATGAGGGAACTTCAACTCCCATGAGGCTCTGCGCTGTCCGCCATTACCTCTCCCGCCACAGCGCTCCGGCCGGCCCGGCGAACCGACCCCAAGGAAAGGGGATCTTAATGCCCCTCCCGAACCCCAGAGACCCCCAACACTCAGCGCACAGAGACTTCACATGGAAGGGGTCCCGGGGGTCCCCTAAAGCCCAGCAGTGGGGTTCAGGGGATCTCCCAGCCCCCAGGGGAGAGGTCCTGGGGGTGCCCCCCAAAGTGCGGGAGGGTTATGTACCACATCCGGGTAAGGGGATCCCAGTGCCCCCAGTATATCCCAGTGGCCCTCAGTACGGCCCAGTAACCCCCTCAGTGACCAGCCAGTGTGTCCCAGTGACCTCCTACTGTATGGCACAGTGATCCTGCAGTGAGCACCCAGTAACCCCCAGTATGGCCCAGTAACCTGCCAGTGTCCCCCCGTGTGTCCTGGTAATCCTCCGGTAACCCCCCAGTCCCTCCCAGTTCCTCCTGGTTCCCCCCAGTGTGTCCCAGTATCCCCCAGTAATCACCCAGTGCCCCCCAAAGCCCCCCAACTGTCCCGAATGTGTCCCCAGATGCCCTTGGCCTTTCTGTGACTGTGGGGGGGACGTTTCTGTGCTCAGAGGGTCCAGGAGGGGCTCCTGGGGTGAGATGGAGGGTTGGGGACATAAGAGATGGGGTTTGGGGACAGTGGGGACAGTGGGGAGGAGTTTCAGACAGTGAAATTGGGGGTGTCAAGGGGGGAATTGGGGCCATGGGGAGGCCCTGGGGAAAATGGAGACACCAGGGAGGTCTTGGGAGTTAAGGAGGGAACTGGGGACACAAAGAGGGTCTTAGGGACACCAGGGGGTCTCAGGACTCACCTGCTGGTGGTACTGCCCATCCTCTTCCCCCCAGGCCCATTTAACCCCCTCAAATGTTCCCCAACCCCCTTTTCCATTTAATCATCTCCCCCTACAGATCCATTTGACCCCCCCAATGACCTCAAGACCTTTTAACTCTCCCAAATGCACCCAAAGCCCCCCAAAACCCCCAAATTCCCATCCAACACCCCCAGATCCCCCCAGATCTTCCCCAGCTCCCCCCTCAAATCCCTTCCAACCCCCGCCAAGAGGGATCACCTGGCACCCTGGGACAGGAACACAGTGGGCTGTACTGGGGGCACTGGGCTGTACTGGGAGGGCACTGGGGGGGCCTCAGGTGTCCCAGGACAACGTGGCCCAGCTCCAGGAGAGATCTGGGGAGCAATGAGGAGGTACTGGTCTGTATGCTCTGTGCTGGTCTGTCCTGGTCTGTACCCCCAGTCCCCAAAGCCCCTCCCCAGCTCCCCCAGGAACCTCCTGGACCCCAAAGCCCCCCAGGCCCCTGACTTGGTCCTGCTGCCCCTTGAGCATCTGCAGCTGCTGCAGAACCAGGCATTTCATCAGCAAATGTGCAGCTGACACCAAGCTGGGGGTGTGTTGATGTGCTGAAGGCAGGAGGGCTCTGCAGAGGGACCTGGCCAAGCTGGATCCATGGGCTGATTCCAGGGGGATGAGGTTCAAGCAGGCCAAGGGCCGGGTCCTGCCCTTTGGCCACAAGAAGCCCCGTCAGCCCCCCGGGCTGGGGCCAGAGTGTCTGGAGAGCAGGCAGGCAGAAAGGGAGCTGGGAGTGTGGATGGACAGGAAGCTGAAGAGGAAGCAGAGTGTGGCCAGGTGGCCAAGAGGGCCAATGGATAATGGCCTGTCTGAGGAAGAGTGTGTCAGCAGGAGCAGGGCAGTGATTGTTGGGCTGGAGTGAGCGCTGCTGAGGCCACCCCTGGAGTGCTGTGTCCAGCTCTGGCCCCTGAGTTGAGGAAGGCCCTGGAGGGGCTGGAGCAGGTGCAGAGAAGAGCAGCGAGGCTGGGGAAGGGAGTGGAGCACAAGTGGGGTGAGGAGAGGCTGAGGGAGCTGGGGGTGTTGAGGCTGGAGAAGAGGAGGCTCAGGGGAGACCTCCTGACTCTCTGCAAGTCCCTGCCAGGAGGTTGGAGCCAGGTGGGGGTGGGGCTGTTGTGCCAGGAAGCAGCAGTAGGACAAGAGGGCTGGGTCTTGAGCTGTGCCAGGGGAGGTTTAGGTTGGATATTGGGAAGCAATTTTTTGCGGAGAGAGTAATGAGGCCTTGGAATGGGCTGGGCAGGGAGGGGGTGGAGTCAGCGTCCCTGGAGGTGTTGAAGGTGAGAGTGGATGTGGCCTCAGTGCCATGGTCTGGGAAGCACAGCGGGGTTGGATCAAGGGTTGGACTTCATGATCTTGGAGGTCTTTTCCAATGTGGCTGATTCTGTGATTCTCTGATTGCCTTTCCTATGGCAGCCCATGCTTGAGGCTCTATCCCCAGGGTGACAGAGATGTCTGTCCATATCTGTCTCCAAGGTTAGTGTGTAAATGTGTGTTGCTAGAAAAGCAGGCTAAGTTCTGGGATGATTGTAGAAGGAGAAGGAAGCCCAGAGGCCAGTGCAAGCAGGCAGCCCTGAGCTTGCACATGATGTCCCCTCCCTGCAGGTTCCTGTCCTTGAGCCCAGGCCCTGAGGTGAGGCTGAGAAGTGGCGCGGAGGTGAGGCCAGAGCTGTCCCTGAGGTGAGGCTGAGAATAAGTGCAAGGCAGAGGTGCTGCTGAGGAAGGAGAGCCCCGTGGTGGGGAAGAGACAGAAGCTGTGTTTGCCCATCCCCGAGCAGGTGCTGTGTCCATCCCCTGTGTGCCAGGTGAGCTGGGGCTTTGCTGCAGAGCTGCGGGCGCTGATTTGAGCGGCTGCAAGTGCTGAGCTGGTGGCACCCAGGAACACAAACTGTGCCTGGCCACGGAGCCTGCAAGGAGGAGCAGAGACAGCGGTGTCAGTGTGGGGGGCCAGGTTGTCCCTGTGCCTTCCCCTGCAGGCCCTGGCTGTCCCTGCTGGGCCCCTGTCCATCCCCATCAGGTCCCTGCCTGTCCCCCCCGGGCTGAGCTCCCCCCAGGAAGTGCCGTGGAGCTGAAGCTGCTGCCATCCCCCCCTGCAGCCGCTGCCCCAGCCAAGGGAGCAGCAAAGGCAGGGCCAGGAGCAGAGGCAGCAGCAGGGGAGCCCTGGGGGGGGCCGGGAAGCTCTTGTGTGGGGCAGGAAAGAGGCGCTGGGCACGAGGCCGGGGCTGTGCTGAGCAGGCCCAGCCCTCACATCCCCCCAGCCAACGCCGGCTGCCCGGGGGGCTTGGGAGGGACCCCCATCCCGTGTGCCCCACACTGAGCTGGCAGAGAGAGAGCCAAGGGACAGGGCCACGGGCAGGGTCACGGGTGAGGGACAGGCAGGGCCATTGCAGGGCCACGGTGAGGGCACAGCCTGTGGCAGCAGAGCTGCCCAGGGCCGGGGGCAGCCGGGGGTGTTGGTACCAGGCAGTGCTGGGGCTGAGCAGAGCACGAGGCCTCTTGCAGAGCCCTGGAGCAGCCTCCCACTTGCCAGCCCTGCCCTGGTGGGGTGACACTGTCCCCTCCCTACAGGACACTCCCCCCGAAATCTTTGGTGGGGCCTTTTGTGTATATTCCTGGTTGCTGATTCCTGCTGGGGACCTGAGGGCTCCTCTGCAATCCCATCCATGTGGCACAATCTCCTCTGCAGAGCTTGACTCCCTGCAGACTTTGCAGGGAAATCTGTGCTGGCAGCCCGAGTATGTCCTGACCCCCTGCACTCCCCTCAGGATATTTGGGATGAGTTCCCCCTTCCCGGGCACCCGCGGGATGAGAGGGGAGGCGCTTGTTTTCCTGCTGCTCCTGTTCCTGCTCTGCTCCTGTCCCTGCCCTTCCTGCCACTGTCGGGTGAGCGGAGCGGCCATGATGGGAAAGGGGCAAGAGAAGCGACCCAGGAACCTGAAACGGGGGAGCAGAGAAGGGGAAACCTGGACAGCTGGAACCCTTGGGATCCCTGGGACAACAAGGTGGAGAACCTGGAGAGGGGGAATGTCTGGGAACGTGGCACCCCGAAGACGAGAGTCAGAGGAGAAGAGACCATTGGGACCGCAACACTTCCAGCATCCATAAGTGGGATCCCCAGCATCCCAGACAGGGGAGACTCTCTGAACTCCAGTTGGGAGAGATGAAAGAGGGACAACTTCTGGGAGAGATTTTTTGGGCTAATCTTCATATTCTGGAGTATTTTTAGCTGAATTTCAACTTTTTGCATTTTGAGGACCTAAGGGCTATTTCTGTGGGTTTTTTACCTGAATGTTGGTGGTTTGGGTTTTTTTGGGCTGAATCTTGGTGTTTTGGAGGTTTTTATGATGCCAGGTGAGTTCTAGAGATGGACTCAGGCAGGAGGAACTCCCAAGCCAACGCACTCAGCCCTTGTTTTCCCCCCATCAGGATTTGTCCTTCCCAAAGCTTGGGCGGATGGAGGAGGAGGCTGCGAGGAAGAGGAAGATGCCTTGGGCCCCCCAGGCAGGTGAGGAGGAAGTCAGTGGCCCTTTGGGCAGGTGTTGTGCTGGCTCTGTCAGCCGAGCATGGCCCCGGCTGCAGGACAACCCCGCTGCCGCCGCCGTCCTGCCGGGGCCGGAGTTGGGGGGATGTCCTTGGCCTTCCCTGTGGGCCGGAGGCAAATCCCCTCCCTGTCCTTCTTGCTTCCTGCCCCAGGCCCCGAGCTGAGGACGGAGAGCCCGGAGGACAAATCCCCCCGTGAGACCCTGGTGGGAGAGGCCGTTTTGAAGGGCTCCACGGCACAGGAAGGCAGCGGGGAGGAAGAGGCTCAGAGATCCCCCCACAGGAGGGGCTCCAAAGCCATCCCAGGGTGCTCTGAGGAGGAAAGACCCAGCCTGTGCTGGGAAGGCGGCCAGAGCTTGAGGGGGAGCTCCAGCCTGGTGGTCCCTGAGCAGCCTCCCAGCAGGGAGAAACCCTTCCGGTGCTTAGAATGTGGGAAGAGCTTCAGGCAGAGCTCCAGCCTCCTCACCCACCAGCACATCCACACTGGGGAACGGCCCTACACGTGTGGGGAGTGTGGGAAGAGCTTCAGTGACAGGTCCACTCTCCACACCCACCGTCGCATCCACACTGGTGAACGGCCCTATACGTGTGGGGAATGTGGGAAGAGCTTCGGGAACAGCTCCCACCTCTGCACCCACCAGCGCATCCACACTGAGGAACGGCCCTACACGTGTGGGGAATGTGGGAAGAGTTTCAGGCACAGCTCCACCCTTCGCACCCACGAGCGCATCCACACTGGGGAATTGCCCTACACGTGTGGGGAATGTGGGAAGAGCTTCAACCAGAGCTCCGGGCTCCGCACCCACCAGCGCATTCACAACAGGGAGAGGCCCTATAAGTGTGGGGAATGTGGGAAGAGCTTCAGCCAAAGCTCCACCCTGTACACCCACCAGCGCATCCACTCTGGGGAACGGCCCTACAAGTGCTCGGAATGTGGGAAGAGGTTTAAAATCAGCTCACATTTCCTCGTGCATGAGCAGACACACACTGATGAGAGGCCCTTCCACTGCACTGACTGCGGGAAGGGCTTCAAGAAGAACTCCACCCTTGTCACCCACCAGCACATCCACACTGGAGAGAGGCCCTACAAGTGTGGGGAGTGTGGGAAGAGCTTCAGGCACAGCTCCAACCTCCGCATCCACCAGCGAATCCACACCAAGGAACGGCCATACAAGTGTGGGGAGTGTGGGAAGAGGTTTCAGACCACCTCAGATCTCCTCGTGCATGAGCGGACACACACGGATGAGAGGCCCTTCCGCTGCACCGACTGCGGGAAGGGCTTCAACCAGAACTCCCACCTCGTCACCCACCGGCGCATCCACACCGGGGAGAGGCCCTACAAGTGTGGGGAGTGTGGGAAGAGCTTCGCCCAGAGCGGACACTTGACCAAACACCAACAGACCCACCGGTAAGGGAAACCCTACCAGTGCCCAGACTGAGGGAAGAGCTTCGGCCGCTGCTTCCACCCCGAATGAAGCCCCTGATGGTGAGGCAACCCCTGGAGTCCAGTGACTGTCAGTCCATCCCTTCCTACCAGAAAGGGCCAGTCCCCTTTCCCAGGGGCAGCTTCTTCCAACAGAACCCTTCTTGAGGGTTGTGTGGAAATTCCTGCCTTGGCTGGGGACCCCCCCAAGGTCACTGCTGGAGGTTGAGAGCAATCTCCCTGTGAATGTTGGTCTGGGGGAGTTCCATCCATCTCTAATTAAGAATTATTGCTTTTGTTTCAGCTTTAGTAGAATTGCTTCAACAATTACTTTAGTGTAGAGCACTGTCCTGTCTTATCCTGTACTCTTCGTAGTTTTGATGTTTCTGTTGTGCAGTAAATAATTCTGATTAAGATCTTTTGTCTGATCACTTATAACTGATGCCTTAAGCCCCTATTAGCTTTTATTTTTCTAATTTTTGTAAGCCTTATAAGTTTTATACGTAGTAGAAGTAGATTTTAAAAACAGCAGCCCTCACTCCCTTTCCCTGTAGTACAAATAGTTTACACATTCCTTAACCCTCTTACCCCATTCTATGCTCCCCATATCAAATCTGCCCCTGAATTCAGTGGCAGTGTTTAGTCTCTTATCAAGGCAAGGCCTACGCTGTTTAGAGAACAACCATATCAGGACCTGAATAACCAAACAGAGTCAAGAACTAGGTGACTATGTACCCTTTGTGCTCTGAAGATGGTGAAGATGATGAAGGAAAGACCCCCAGACCCAATTCTCAGGAGGTGGACCTGGGGCGCATCAGAGCAAAGGCTACAGGGTGGATACACTTGAGATTGGATGGATGGTTTTATAAAATGTAACATCTCGGGCACAGAGGCGTGCGTCGTGTAACACCTATTGCTTTGGCACAATTAAACCCTTTCCTTATCTCACCCCTAATTAACTGCTCCTGAGTTATTTTTTAGCATCAACATTCCACGGCATCATAACCCTAAATAAATTCATTTCTATCAGTAGATCTGATTTGCCATCATTAAAACCTGGGGGACAAAAGTGTTTTAGTCACACCTCTGTAATTCCTCTAAATATAAAATGTTGGCAAGATTCAAGGCTGAGATTGGATCCAGCAGCCCCCAGCACCCCACAGTAAGTTGGGAGCTCAGGGGAACCACTCCCTTTCCCAAAACCTGATTTCCAAAGACCCCCATGTGACTGCCGGACCCACCAGACCACCCTTCCTTTTCCGTCCTTCTCCCTGTTCCTCCCACTTTTCCGTGGTCCTCTCAATCCCCAGCCCAACCAGGATCACTTTTGGGGTCCCAACCCCCACTTTTTGCCCCCCTTCCCACCCCTTCCACATCATCCCCCCACTCCCCAGCCCCCTCATGCTCAGTTTGGGGGTCCCACCCTCCCCTTTCCCCACTCTTCTGACCTCTCCCACCCATTTCCCATCATCCCCCAAACCTCAGTGCCCCTCCAATTTTGGGGGGTCCCACTCCCCTCCCACTCAGTTTGGGGTCCCACCACCCCTTTTGTCCCCTCTGACCCCCCTTTCCCACCGATCTCCCCTTCCCACACCCCACTCACCCGAGAACTCCTCACCCGCAGCTGGGGGGGCTCCCAGCACCACCAGTGCCCAGAGAAGTCCCCCAGGAAAGGGGTTGGGTGGGGTCCTGGGTGGGCTTTGAGTGGGTTTGGGGCTCCTTGAGGGGCTGTGTGGGGGTTTTGGGGAACAACCCAGCACCTTTTGGGGTGAGCTGGGTGCTTTATTGAGGGGCAGGTGCTCTCCCAAAGCCCCTCCAGAGCGGGTTGACACAGGGGGGACACAGGGGGGTCCCCATTCCCAATCCATCCTAGGGCCAGTTCTGCCCCCCCCAAACTCGGCTCTACCACACGGAGACCCTCCAAGCCCCTCCCCCACTGCCCCCCAATAACTGGGACTGGGGAGAACTGGGAAACTTTACTGGGATCACTGGGAGCAGCCGAGGGAGGAAGAGTGACAGCAGGGGAGAGAGGGACACATGACCCCCCCAAAATCTTCACGGGGATGGAGGGGGTCCAGCCTGGGCCTGAGGCCCCGGGGAGGGGCTGTGGCCGCCGCCGGCTCAGGAGCTCTGTGGGGAGAGAAAAGGGGGTGACACCGGGGTGGGGGGTCCCCGGGGGGACACAGACGCTCTGGGGGGACACACGACCCCCTGAGACCCCCCTCACCTTCTGGCGCAGGTAGAAGCTGAGCCCCAGCGCCAGGGAGACGAAGCCCAAGAGGAAGCCCCCGGCCCCTCCTTGGCAGCAATTCCTCAGGCTGATGGAGCCCAGCAGGGCCGGGGCCGCCGGCGGTGTCCGATCCCGGCAGGAAGAGGGGAGGGCCCGGCGGGGTCTGATAGAAATAAATCAAGGCAGAGCTCTCTCTTTCCTTTACCCCCTGAGCAGTGACCATCAAGAGCTGTCCCTGCTTCACAGGAGAAACTGCACACACTTCAACAAAGTCTGTGGAAGAATCTGCTCTAGGAAAGTTGGCCCTGGGCTTTTATGCTTATCCAGTGATGGATGGCCAGTCACATCTTCCCAGGCCAGTGAGCAGCTGATCTGTCAAACTCTGCTTCCAAAAGCAGGATGAGTGTTGGAAGATTGGGGAACCAGGCTGGGTTTGGCACAATTCAATAGTAAACCAACCCCTTGGCACCAGCAGTAACTCCCCACAGAGAGCTTGCAGTGCTTGCATTCTCTGACAAGATTCTTTTCCAGGTAGAACGTCCTGCTACAAGGGGTCTGTTACTACCCATCCCAGAAAGGGGGTGGTAACCAGGTTCTTATTAATAAATCCCTTGGGGTGGATTAGAGTGAAATGAAACAAAATAATCGGTGTTTGAAAACATATATATATAGGGTTTAATTTAGAGCAATTTCATTTCAAAGGTAAACAGGTATGTTGCCATTTTGGGTGTTATCATCTATATCTCTCATCTACAGCAATATGGCATAAAGATAACCTTCAGGGAAAATGGATAAGGGAGAGAAAAAAAGACAGGATAAGGGTAAGGGAGAGTAAGGGAAAGCAAAGCTGAGAGTGGAAAGATGTCTATAGTCACCGCACACAGGGTCTAGCGATGGAACTTGGGAGTTGCAGCTTCCATGTCTGTGAGTTGAAGTGGTGGCCTTGATCCATTAGGGGTGGGGGAGGGAAGCCCCCACACTCCAAGAAGTTATGAGTTATTATATCCATGGATGGTGTCCCGGGCCGTGCCACGAACCCCCAACATCTCCTGGGCCTGCGCAGAGTTCCCGTGAGGGGCCTGGGAAAAGGGTTTTTCCTGCCTTTCAAGATTGGTCAAGGGGGGGATGGGCTTTGATGGGCCATCAGAGGTCTAATGCTAAAGTCCTGCAGAAGCCTCCAAGAGTCCCTTGGCAATCCTAGAATGCACAAATATTAACCATTTCAGTCTCTGACACCACCCCGTGATTTATGCATTCAATAATTTCTCTTCTTTTGTCGTTCACTTCTAGAATTCACTTTGTGAATCTTCTTTGTGGGCGGTGCCTTTCGTGTAGTGGACAGAAAGAGAGAAAAGAAAAGGAAGAGAGAGCACAAATCTTTTCCCAATGCGATGCAATTACCAGAAGAAAAACAAACCTTACAGTAAAATCATAAGCATATGGGACATAACAGGATCTCAATAGCTACAATCAAATTTCCTAACATTAACAAAGTTACAAATATCAGGATTTAATACTGACACAAATCTAATTTTCATTAGACACTCTCTCCATCCTGTGAGTAATATTGTTCTACAATAATGCGTCTGTTAGAGGGGCCAACGTGTCTTGAAATTGGACCTGAAATTACACATCAGTTTTTATGCAAATACATTGAGTTACTTGGGAGTTGGTAAAAGGCTTTCTTATATTCTCTTCAGGTAACACTTTCTTTTGTGTTTTCTAGATTTTGTTTCATTTGTTATTTTCTGAGATATTTAGCCAAATATAAAATTTTATGCCTTCCGAGGCAGAGGGTTAATGCATCTAATACATATTTGTATGATTCCAAATATGCATAAATTCTTGTACCAACTCCCAGGCTAAATTTGGTGGAGTTTCTTGATTCTCAGTTGATTGAGACAGAATTATACATATCTAAAAGCTTCTCCTAAGCCAACTTGTTTTTCAATGAAAAGACAAACTTGGCAAAAAATAAACTAGCAATACATAAAAGGGCTTGACTTACACAATCTTACCAATGAGTTACTCATGATAAAAACACAAATAAGTCAACAATTATTAATTATCTGATCATACAAGCAATTTTGGGAGTAGAGGAAACACAAACACAATGTTTACTGAGACAAAAACCACACACAGACGTGGATATCACAAAATTATTAAGATAAAAACACAAACACATGCAAACCATCAGCACTGCAAAGAACAGTACAACTCTCCAGTCCTGTTGTTACTTCATTTTCTCATGGTATCCTTGTAAACTGATAACAGAAGCAGTTGTGGGGGCAGTTATCTCTTCTGCCCATTGCAGCAATTGAAAGCTTTATCGCTCTCACGCAGTTTGATCTCATCTGCTGGCAGGTTCCTGCAAAAAGAGGAAGTCTGGCCCACTATGGATCCATTATTAAAAAGAAGGAACTATCTATTTATCCAACTCCTTTTCTTATCTGGCATGATGCCACCAGGGCAGCAATCGTGGAGAAGTCTGGAACATATTTTCTCCAAAAATGCAAATAAACCCAGAGCATGCTGGAGCTCCTTTTTACTCCTCAGCATCTTTATTTGCTCTAGGGTGGCCAAGATGTCAGGGGGAATACACACTGCTTCTTTTTCTGTGGGAATTTCAAGTCAATGTGTCAAACTGTGGAGTTTATTAATTGAGACAGAAGCAGATATGTTTCTGAATGTTAGTTCTTTCTCTGTGTCCATTCAATCCCACACGCCTCAAGCCCTGCACTCATACAATATATTGGGAGTGTTTTAAGATGGCTTTTAATTGAACCAAAGAGGAAGAAAAAAATTAGTTTGAATCTTGCACCAGAGCCAAAAAGACATGTGCCCCGATTTTATTGGAATGCTTCTACTCTAAGAGGCTTATCTAAACTAATCCTTCAAATTAGCTGTAAGAAGGTACATTCAAGAAAGCTCCTTTGGGGAGGTTGGGGGGGAACAAAGCATCCATAAAAAAACCCCAAAAACACACTACCAG